CAAAAAGTAAAGTCATTTATTGCGTTTTCGGTTGCAATTGATGAAAGCACGGACATTACAGATGTTGCACAACTGGCCATTTTTTCATCCGCGGAGTTGATGACACATTGACCGTCACCGAGGAGTTCGTGGAGTTGGTGCCGATGACAGATACAACGACAGCAGCTGATATTTTTACCGCACTCGTCGGCGCGCTAGACAGGGTCGGAGTGGACTGGTCCCGCGCTGTCAGCCTGGCTACAGATGGTGCGCCCTCAATGATCGGGAAAAAAGCAGGCGTTGTGACAAAGTTCAGAGAGAAAGTGCAATCTGCAAATGGAGGACGTGATTTTTTGACTTTTCACTGTATTTTGCACCAGGAGGCTTTGTGTTGCAAGTCATTAAAGATGGATAACGTCATGAAGGTGGTCATCCAAACTGTTAATTTCATCTGATCCAGAAGCCTGAATCACCGTCAGTTTGACAGCCTTCTCAGAGAGAAAGACCACATCTATGGGCTGCCATACCACACTGAGGTAAGATGGTTAAGCTGAGGTGCTGTGCTGAGGCGTTTCTTTGATTTACGAGAAGAAATTGAACAGTTCATGGAAGAAAAGGGCAAACCAGTGTTAGAATTTCATTCCGCAGAATGGATGCCGGACCTTGCATTTATGGTGGATGTTACAGAGCACCTGAATAACTTGAACAAACAGCTGCAAGGGCGCAACAAAGTTGTCACGCAGTATTATGACAGCATACGTTCTTTCAAGTTGAAGCTGTCATTGTGGGAGACGCAACTTGCCGGTGGTGATGCAGCTCACTTCCCCTGTCTGAAAAATTTGTGCGCGACCCAACATGTGGCAGACATGAAGCGGTTCAAAGATAAAATAACTGGACTGTTACGTGAGTTTGAGCAACGCTTTCAGATTTATGTTTATATGTTTTTATGTTGATGTGCTATTGTTTTTAATTGATTTTATTTTATTTGTATATTTAACCTATTCTTGACTCTGTGGTTCTTGCACTTGTTTGGGGAACAGGATTTCATTATTTTTTATCTACATTTCTGCCTGAGAAATGACACCCTGATATAGTTCTGTGATCTGTGAAACAGTTCTGTGAATCACTGAGGCATTGTGTGTTTGTGTGTTCTTTGTCCTCAGAACTTTCAAATAACTTGAGGTGTTTTATGATTAATAGTGATGTTGTGCTTTTGGACACTGTCCTCATGCTCCAGCTTTATGTTTATATGTTTTTATGTTGATGTGCTATTGTTTTTAATTGATTTTATTTTATTTGTATATTTAACCTATTCTTGACTCTGTGGTTCTTGCACTTGTTTGGGGAACAGGATTTCATTATTTTTATCTACATTTCTGCCTGAGAAATGACACCCTGATATAGTTCTGTGATCTGTGAAACAGTTCTGTTAATCACTGAGGCATTGTGTGTTTGTGTGTTCTTTTTCTTTAGAATTTTCAAATAAACTTGACGTGTTTTATGATTAATAGTGATGTTGTGCTTGTACTATTCTGGACACACTGTCCTCAGGCTCCAGCTTTAAGTTGTATGTTGATCGTATTAAAACAAAGAAAACAATCTGAAGTTGTTGTTTTTAAGTTATATATACCATGATTTTTCCGGTCCGGCCCACTTGGGAATAGATTTTCCTCCATGTGGCCCCTGAGCTAAAATGAGTTTGACACCCCTGCCTTAGACCCTTCTTCAGGGTTAGGTAAATCATGGCTTGGGATCTTCTACACCTTAGATAACTTATAAAAATGTTTATTTTACACTAATGAAAACGTCTCCTCCACTTGGTCAGTAGGCCTTAAAAACAATGAATATGGTTTTAGGGGCTTTTTCATTGGATCTATCTAGATATGTCAAATTTTTTTACATTACGGAAATGCACATGGTAGATGAGTGTTTTCATGGATGGGGAGTCTTTGAGCAACTAAGAGAAACAGAACTGAATATCACACCATCTAAATACAAATAGTATAGGCTACCTCTAGTAGGCTAGGGCTACTCTAGTCGATTTCGTTCTGCCTCAGTAACATTTATAGGAGGGCTCTATCTTTTTATTGAATGAGAGATTTCTTTAAATACACTGTCAATCAAATGTACGATTCACCCGCTGTCACGGTTTCGGCCGAGGCTGCCTCTCTCCCTTGTTCGGGCAGGCTTCGGCGTTCGTTGTCTCCGGAATACTAGCTGCCACCGTTGTATGTTTCATGTTCGTTTGCTTTTGTCTGTTTGTTGTCACACCTGTTCTCGTTTAGCGTAATTAGTGTCCTATAAGTTTCTCGTTGTGTTTGTCTAGTGTTGTGTGTTATTGATTTTGGTCTGTCGTGTGTAGGGCTTAATTAGTATTTTCGCTCGGTTGAGCTTCCCTCCACTGCGTTGGAGTGTTACGCACCTGTTAGTGCGCTTTTGTTTTTGTTCGCCTTCGTGCGTAATTTCGCCTTCGGGCAAGAGTTGTCGTATTTCCTTGTTGGAGATTTACTAAAGTCTGTTGGACTATACTTCGGTGTCCTGCGTTTGATTCCACCACTGCACCCACCTACAGCACGCGTGACACCCGCGTGCTGCTGCTTCGACTAGTCGTTTGCTCGCTACAGGGTTTGAACAGCATACTCAAGCCTGCGGGCACCATAGATTAAGGAAAATTATGTAGATTCGTACTATAGCGGTCAACGTATACCGATAACCTCCGACTCCTCTTGTCCTTCAGGATTAGGCTTTATCAGGTAGGCTATACGTTTATTACCAGTATGTGTTGACAGTTGAATATATTAGTTTTAAAAATCAACCATGCATGCCATCTGTCATTTCACATGTGATCCAATGTGGTGAGAGGGAGTGCAAATGTCATCTGTGAATTGGTAAAAATCCTTTGGCGCCATAAATGCAAGCTTCAAGTTGGGGAAAAAAATATAAGTAACAGCATATTACTGATAGCATGCCTTAAACTGTCACGTGTTTAACATAATCCAATACATTTGTTTATAGTCAATAGCCTTTGGATCATTGGAATCAGCTTAACTGAAATGCATTATATATTAGAAATTAAGTGAAATTAATAAGATATTGGAAATTAAAAGCTTGCAACCTGTTTGACATTTAAGTGATAATGCCCTCGAAGTCGGTGTTTGGATGATATATTGGCACGGGTTAATCTCGGGCCGGCAAACCGTGCCAATATATCCTCCAAACACCGGCTTCGAAGGGCATTATCACTTTTATACAACAGGTTACCAACATATTCAAATAATGATTGACATATTTTCATTAACGTTATTTTGATGAATTTATTCATACTATTTCATCCTTCCACAAGATATAGTCCCGACACAAATCGTTAGTTCTATCGGTTCGGTTGCCAGAGTCGCGACCCAGTCATTCAGTCTTTTTGTTCTGTATCTATGGACGCGACCCAATCGTACTGGCTGGCAAAGTTCTTATCCCTTGCTTGCTAGCTAGATAACTACGACTAACTTACAGTCACGTCAAAAAGTGCAGCCAGAATATCAGCTGCATTTGCATTTGTTTAAGCGGTTTTGTAGTGACATTTATTTGGATACATCCATAACAATATGCTAATGAGGCGCGATTTCGCCATCATAGAAAATGTGCTCACTCGTCAGGACACTGTTGTTCAGAGGAGCTAGCCAACAACACAGCTAGCACAATCACTTCAAACTGAAGCTGGAAAGACTGCAAACTAGCTGCACTTCGTTTCGTTGTAAATTTTCAATTGACATTTCTTTGTTTATATCAATAAAAATGACACCAGCTGATTCATGATTTTGACTAACTGAGAAACGCTGCCTGCCTGTCTGTCTCGTCCCAACTCCAGACACGTTCATTGCAATGGGACAGCTGAAGATCAGATTTCGGAGAGACAGACAGCAAGGTTTATACAAATCTCTGCTGTTGAAAATGAAATGTTAGTCTAAAAGAAATGTGAGATAATGTCTAGATGCGTTTTATAGTGGAGATCAAGTTCATAAATTGCCTGGCAGGGCTGATAAGACAGTGGATTGTGCAGTCAGATGGAACAGAGTAAATAGGCATTTTAACATCATAGATTTAGCAGGTGGTAACTTGTGGAATAGACACTGGCTGGAATGTGGTTTTAACCAATCAGCATTCAGGATTAGACCCACCCATTGTATAATACATTATCTACATTAATTTATTGTATAGGGGACAACATTATAAACCATTATATGCCAGGCGGTGGTTAAAGTATGATTAAAATGTTCTGCCTTCAGATAAATAGCCCAGCTTTATATATTTTGGGTTATCCATATTTGTCTTAACCACTTCCTATGTCAAATTAATTTTCAAATTAATAAATTAATTCATATAATTTAGTCTTAGATGAAGGACAAATCTATTTACTGTATATTGCAATAATTCAAGGAAAGCTATAAAGTATAGCAAGGCAAATATTACAAGGTAAACATGATGAGACAGCCTGTAATTGCCTTGTCCATCATTCTATCTGAAGAGGCATGTCTATGAAAACATCAGCATAATTTCATACATTATCAGCTTGAGTCCGATTGATAGCTTTTTCTGGGAGAATATGATATGAAACTGACAACTGAAATGTCTACTTCAGTTATGTTAGACCAAAAGCTGTCACAACAACTTACTTCTGTCAGTCAATTTCTGAAAGTAGTTTGTTCAATTTGCTCAAGTTACCTGATAGATTTGATGTATAATTGGAATTGAGAAATGTGTTTTAATATCTCATAAATACTGCACATTATTTAGGCATAACTGAAGGTTAATCAGGGTTTTGAAATAATTAACATGGCAATGCACATGACGTTTACAATTCTAATTGTGTCATTCTCTGTTGATATTCCTCAGGTTTGAGGATTTTTTCTGTTTGGTGGTAAGATGAGAGAACATTTCCATGACAGCTTGCTGTACATAAGTGAGATGCTTCTACATTTTTTAGCAATTAATAGCATTCACTTTGGTGCTGGGCTATAAACTCACCAATGGCGACTGAGGGGAGCCAAGATGGCCAATGCCAGGAAAAGGTTGTCTTGAAGAGGAAGTTGACCGGTCCACCCAGACTCCTCCTGGGCAAATCTAAGTCCAAGAACCAGGGAGGTGACAGTTCTAAGGCTCGGACTAAGAAGATAATCAAACTAATAAACATCAACAATGGGATTCAGATGGATTCCTCTGCCAAACAGTCAAATATAGAAGTTGGGGAGAAGGGATCATCACAACCTGTAGTCACTTCAGATGACCTCCATACGACCACAAAAATGGACGAGGAGCAAGCTTCACCTGAACTACCCACTGAGCCCTCAAGGATGAAACCAACAAAGACCAATTGGAAGGACATTGTAAGACAAGGAAATCAACAAAACATAGCTGGAGAAAGTTATTTTCCCCGGCTCTCATTTGCGTCAGAAGACCATGGAAGTATGCTGCAAAGACTTCAGTTGAGGATGGTGACCAGGGAGTTGTACAAACTGAGAGACTAACTCGTACGGAAGCAAACTCAATGGGAGAAGACACCATCTCCTTGAGTGACAAGTATGTCCGCGATGCTCTTGACATCGACAACATCATGAAAATGAGGAGCAGGTTTACCATCCGGACATGGCCGACCTTCAAAAGGTTCTTGATGGCATCCTACGTCCGAGGCCAAAGGCCAAAACAGGGAAATGTTGCACAGGAGTTCTCTGAAGACGTTCAACAACAACCGTCATTGACCTTCAGGAAGAGATTTCAGTATTTATTGACGTGTGATAGGAGTGCACCTTCAGCTGTGCTCTTTCTGGGCACCCAGGACCTTGGAGACAAGGAGGCTGAAGCGGAGTCAATGGGGACACAAGGCAGGGGACAACAGTGTACATCTGATGTCCAGGAAGTTGAGCTTCTGGAAGAGGTGGCTGAGGTTAGAGGACAATGTACAGAGAGAGTGACAGTGAGTGCCGAAGTGAGCGCCCTGCAGTCTGAGAACGGAGGCCCAACAAAATCCGGAACGGAACTGTAGCTCAGCTGGTAGAGCACGGCGCTTGTAACGCCAAGGTAGTGGGTTCGATCCCCGGGACCACCCATACACACACAAAAAAATTATGCACGCATGACTGTAAGTCGCTTTGGATAAAAGCGTCTGCTAAATGGCATATTATTATTATTATTAACGAGCCCAGAGTCACTACTAGAGAGTCCCATCCCGACAACAGTAGCAGGACCAGCAGTAGATACAGAAGACACAGAGACCAGTCCAATGGATGATTCAGAGGAAACAGAGATATTGGAACCTGAGACTTCTACCAAAACTGGTACAGAATTATTGGAAACTGAGACTTCTTTCAAAACTGAGTTATGGGAAACTGAGACTTCTACCAAAACTGGCACAGACTCTACAATCCTCAGTGAAGTCATCAATGTTACCATGGACCCTAACGAGACGCAAGTAGCTGAATTGGTTCATATCCAGTGTTTAGAGAAGGACAAGGTCATTGAGTCTGACTGTGCGATAACCAATACAGTCAACAGCATTACCATGGACACTAATGAGCATCCCTCAGACTCAAATCAGATCATTTCTTCTGAGAATGCTGCAGCGGAGGCTACTGATAAATCTAAGGAGAATGACACGCTCTGCAGGATCACGAAAGATAACATTGTGCAGAATGGCCAGCCCTTGACCAACATCGCACTGCATGGGCTCAGTGTCTTACACTACAGTCTCTGTGAAACAAATAGCACCCCCGGGGCTGACTTGATCAAGGATGTGTCCGACCAGGATGGCCTTGTGGTAGGGGACGAAAGCTGCGAGAGTCGACTCCCTACGGAGGACCACCAGTACCTGTTGTTGTGTGGAGAGAGGCTGCTAGTGCAGACGGCTCGCCTGTTGGTCCAGGCAGCCATGAGCGCTGCCATGGATCAGCTCTCAATGGAACAGGGAGGCACTCCCACCACTATCCACAAGGAGGCGCAAGGGTGTCGAGATCACGCTTGACACTCCTTCTGGTGTGTCGTTGTAGCAGATGTGCTGTATGTACAGTCGTGGTCAAAAGTTTTGAGAATGACACAAGTATTGGTCTTCACAAAGTTCGCTGCTTCAGTGTTATGAGATATTTTTGTCAAATGTTACTATGGTATACTGAAGTATAATTGGTCCTCTGTAGCTCAGCTGGTAGAGCACGGCTGGTAGAGCACGGCTCAGCTGGTAGAGCACGGCGCTTGTAACGCCAAGATAGTGGGTTCGATCCCCGGGACCACCCATACACAAAAATGTATGCACGCATGACTGTAAGTCGCTTTGGATAAAAGCGTCTGCTAAATGGCATATTATTATTTATTATTATTATTATAATTACAAGCATTCCATAAGTGTCAAAGGCTTTTATTGAAAATTATATTACGTTTATGCAAAGAGTCAATATTTGCAGTGTTGACCCTTCTTTTTCAAGACCTCTGCAATCCGCCCTGGCATGCTGTCAATTAACTTCTGGGCCACATCCTGACTGATGACAGCCCATTCTTGCGTAACCAATGCTTGGAGTTTGTCAGAATTTGTGGGTTTTTGTTTGTCCACCCGCCTCTTGAGGATCGACCACAAGTTCTCAATGGGATTAAGGTCTAGGGAGTTTCCTGGCCATGGACCCAAAATATATATGTTTTGTTCCCCGAGCCACTTAGTTATCACTTTTGCCTTATGGCAAGGTGCTCCATCATGCTGGAAAAGGCATTGGTCATCACCAAACTGTTCTTGGCTGGTTGGGAGAAGTTGTTCTCGGAGGATGTGTTGGTACCATTCTTTATTCATGGCTGTATTCTTAGGCAAAAATGTGAGTGAGCCCACTCCCTTGGCTGAGAAGCAACCCCACACATGAATGATCTCAGGATGCTTTACTGTTGGCATGACACAGGACTGATGGTAGCGCTCACCTTGTCTTCTCCGGACAAGCTTTTTTCCGGATGCCCCAAACAATCGGAAAGGGGATTCATCAGAGAAAATGACTTTACCCCAGTCCTCAGCAGTTCAATCCCTGTACCTTTTGCAGACTATCAGTCTGTCCCTGATGTTTTTCCTGGAGAGAAGTGGCTTCTTTGCTGCCCTTCTGGACACCAGGCCATCCTCCAAAGGTATTTGCCTCACTGTGCGTGCAGATGCACTCACACCTGCCTGCTGCCATTCCTGAGCAAGCTCTGCACTGGTGGTGCCCCGATCCCGCAGCTGAATCAACTTTAGGAGACGGTCCTGGCGCTTGCTGGACTTTCTTGGGCGCCCTGACGCCTTCTTCACAACAATTGAACCTCTATCCTTGAAGTTCTTGATGATCCGATAAATGGTTGATTTAGGTGCAATCTTACTAGCAGCAATATCCTTGCCTGTGAAGCCCTTTTTGTGCAAAGAAATTATGACGGCACGTGTTTCCTTGCAGGTAACCATGGTTAACAGAGGAAGAACAATGATTTCAAGCACCACCCACCTTTTAAAGCTTCCAGTCTGTTATTCTAACTCAATCAGCATGACAGAGTGATCTCCAGCCTTGTCCTCGTCAACACTCTCACCTGTGTTAACGAGAGAATCACTGACATGATGGCAGCTGGTCCTTTTGTGGCAGGGCTGAAATGCAGTGGAAATGTTTTTTTGGGATTAAGTTCATTTTCTTGGCAAAAATTAATTTGATCACTCTTCATGATATTCTGGAGTATATGCAAATTGCCATCATCAAAACTGAGGCAGCAGACTTTGTGAAAATTAGCATTTGTGTCATTCTCAAAACTTTTGACCACGACTGTACAGGCCCCATTTGGTTGGATCAGCAGGGTCTTTTTCATTATGGCATAAATAATATATATTTTGTAAACATTTTGCAATAGAAAATGAAAATGAGCATTTCTTATTGGACCAGTTTCAATCAGTTTTCTTTCATATGGTGTCTAATGAACACGACTCAGGCTTATTGAGAAAAGATAACCACTTTTTAAAAAAAGTTGTTGTTTACAACTTGTTGTTAACAGACCAAACTGCTGCTGTTTGTATACATCCAAAATGCCAGAGAACCGTATTGACACTATTATTTACAATCTATTTTCTAATATTATACAATAGGTTGCATTCAATTTTAACAATAACTATCACAAACGTTTTAACTGTTCCAGTGTGTCTTTGTGTGTTTTGAAAATGGTGGATCTTATACTTCAATTACAGTTGATCTATATATCTGAATAAGCTATAGTTCTTTAATTAATCAAACATTTGATGATGTATTTAAGATGATCATTTCATATGATGAAGGTGTTAAGCTCTCACTGAGTAGTCTTGCCCTCTGGTTGCTGTTTAATACATGTTTAAGCATAAATAGCTGAGTTAAAAAGCTTTCGCTCTTATGTGTACAGAGATGATACAACGCTTACACCTGTAACTTGTCATAAGAAAATATGAAGTACCCCAGTCCAAATAGAACTCTGTGCTGTCGTTTTTCTGTGTGAATGTTCACAATCATTTTACATTTACATTTTAGTCATTTAGCAGACGCTAAATGACAGGTGCAATTAGGGTTAAGTGCCTTGCTTAAGGGCACATCGACAGATTTTTCACCTAGTCGGCTCGGGGATTAGAACCAGCGACCTTTCGGTTACTGGCACAACGCTCTTACCCACTAAGCTACCTGCCACCCCATGTGAAAATAATGATAACACACTATTTGACACCTTGTGTGTCAGGAAAAATACACCAAAGTCCCCAGATGACTATTTGCTGCCATTCTGTCATCATAGCTTGTCCTCCTGGACTTCAGAGGAGATGTTACAGTAATTGGAAACAACACCAGCAAACATCTGTCTTCGTCAGCACAACATTTAATACATGGAGGCTTGCTGGTCTTTGTAATCGGGTTTGGTTTCCCAAAGGCCTCTTTTAGAGGTGGGGTACTGTGAGGCAAACAGCATTGCATGGTATCATCTGCCTGAATTGTTTTTCATTGACATCATTAGAAGTGGACACCAGGCTCTCTTAACCAAAACAATGTGTTATCCAATTATATGAGTCAACTCTCTGATTTGACGAGGAGCAGTGTGTGTGATCACCCCCTTGAAATCTGGTTATGGAGTAAATCACATCAGAGGAGTGAAGGGTGTTGACAGGCTTTTTACATTCCAAAAATATAATGTATTGGGTGAGAATTCATTCAGTTGTGAGGAGGACAATTGGCTATTCTAATTGAGTTATATCTGGTTGATTTGTTGTTTTATGTTACAGTATCCCATTCAAGCCCCCTTGTAAAATAACATTAAATACATTTTAGGAAAATAACAGTTTGACAGTTTAGTATTATTAAATGTACAGTGGGGAAAAAAAGTATTTAGTCAGCCACCAATTGTGAAAGTTCTCCCACTTAAAAAGATGAGAGAGGCCTGTAATTTTCATCATAGGTACACGTCAACTATGACATACAAATTGAGAAAAGAAAATCCAGAAAATCACATTGTAGGATTTTTAATGAATTTATTTGCAAATTATGGTGGAAAATAAGTATTTGGTCACCTACAAACAAGCAAGATTTCTGGCTCTCACAGACCTGTAACTTCTTTTTTAAGAGGCTCCTCTGGCCTCCACTCGTTACCTGTATTAATGGCACCTGTTTGAACTTGTTATCAGTATAAAAGACACCTGTCCACTACCTCAAACAGTCACACTCCAAACTCCACTATGGCCAAGACCAAAGAGCTGTCAAAGGACACCAGAAACAAAATTGTAGACCTGCACCAGGCTGGGAAGACTGAATCTGCAATAGGTAAGCAGCTTGGTTTGAAGAAATCAACTGTGGGAGCAATTATTAGGAAATGGAAGACATACAAGACCACTGATAATCTCCCTCGATCTGGGGCTCCACGCAAGATCTCACCCCGTGGGGTCAAAATGATCACAAGAACGGTGAGCAAAAATCCCAGAACCACACGGGGGGACCTAGTGAATGACCTGCAGAGAGCTGGGACCAAAGTAACAAAGCCTACCATCAGTAACACACTACGCCACCAGGGACTCAAATCCTGCAGTGCAAGACGTGTCCCCCTGCTTAAGCCAGTACATGTCCAGGCCCGTCTGAAGTTTGCTAGAGTGCATTTGGATGATCCAGAAGAGGATTGGGAGAATGTCATATGGTCAGATGAAACCAAAATAGAACTTTTTGGTAAAAACTCAACTCGTCGTGTTTGGAGGACAAAGAATGCTGAGTTGCATCCAAAGAACACCATACCTACTGTGAAGCATGGGGGTGGAAACATCATGCTTTGGGGCTGTTTTTCTGCAAAGGGACCAGGACGACTGATCTCTGTAAAGGAAAGAATGAATGGGGCCATGTATCGTGAGATTTTGAGTGAAAACCTCCTTCCATTAGCAAGGGCATTGAAGATGAAACGTGGCTGGGTCTTTCAGCATGACAATGATCCCAAACACATTGCCCGAGCAACGAAGGAGTGGCTTCGTAAGAAGCATTTCAAGGTCCTGGAGTGGCCTAGCCAGTCTCCAGATCTCAACCCCATAGAAAATCTTTGGAGGGAGTTGAAAGTCCGTATTGCCCAGCGACAGCCCCAAAAACATCACTGCTCTAGAGGAGATCTGCATGGAGGAATGGGCCAAAATAACAGCAACAGTGTGTGAAAACCTTGTGAAGACTTACAGAAAATGTTTGACCTGTGTCATTGCCAACAAAGGGTATATAACAAAGTATTGAGAAACGTTTGTTATTGACCAAATACTTATTTTCCACCATAATTTGCAAATAAATTCATTAAAAATCCTACAATGTGATTTTCTGGATTTTTTTTCTCTCATTTTGTCTGTCATAGTTGACGTGTACCTATGATGAAAATTGCAGGCCTCTCTCATCTTTTTAAGTGGGAGAACTTGCACAATTGGTGGCTGACTAAATACTTTTTCCCCCACTGTATATAAAGTGCTGGTAGATATTTATTTATCAATATAACAATATTTTTCATTAAATGATCAAACAGACATGCAAAATCTCACTCCAGGTCTCCCAATTTTTTGCTTCACCATGTGAAAATGATCTTCCCCAGTGAAGTCTGCAGTGTTTGGTTTCTGTAGCAATAAAAATATCTTACGTTTAATTATAACCTACAAATCATCAATCAACTGGCAGTTTTTACCATTACAGCTCTGTTTCTTAGTTGATCAGTTTCTCTGTTAAATTAGGCGCAAGAATAGTTTGCCATTTGTTTGGGAGGGACTCTGAGAATGATTGTCCTTACAGCCTCAGCCTCTTACTTCATGTAACAATATATTTTTAGACATTTTGTTATTATCACCAATAAAACTGGACAGTTAGATGGGTTCCAGCACTAACTGTCCTAGATTGAATTGGAATGTATATAACCTACTGCTTGAGAGGTGTGCTGTCTCAGTCAGAAGCCATCTGTCAGTTTTAATATTTGATTGTTGAGCTCCAGAGACGGATGCATAAAACATTCTGTATAGCCGTTCCATTACCCTGCTTCACTCAAAGGACCATGATCGCATCCTAATTCGCCACCCTTATTCAGAAGTGTGTACTTGCACACTCCCAATCATGGATTTATAAGCATAGGATTGGCGTAAGCATTGGCTGGAGGGAGTTTCCACCTTTGTTAAATCCATGTCAGATATTTTGCAAGTGCACACTTCTGGAAAAAGGTGGAGAAATGGGACCCATCAAGCACAAGTGTAGAGGAGAGGAGTGATGGTACCTTTTGGAGATGAGTCCTTCAGCTCTTAAGTGGCCTCTGGTGGTAACAGATTGTTACTACAAGAACAGGGAACAAAAAACCCTGGTCCTAGATCTGTTTGTGCTCTTGTCTACTCCATTGCAGTCCTTGTCTATCCATTTGGCATGAAATGAGTGACAAGGAGTTTGCATTATATATAAATAAAGACTGGCACTCAGGTTTGTGGAAACCGATGATTCTTATCAATGAGAAGAGTTACACTGGACAATCTCTTAAAAAAAATAAAAAAAAAATGGGAAAGGTGACAGATTTACAAAACATTAAACCACATTCATGTTTAAAGTGTATGACAAAGTGGAAACACCATAGAAGTGTAGCCAATTCAAACACACCAGAAGTCACACACATACCAACAGTACAAAAATGAAACACCCAAAATGGCAAATCTGATCACCAACTTCGATAGACAGTATAAACCTATCACAGTACATGCAGACTCCTGTTTTGACATTACCAGATGCATTCTTCTACACATTCTGATAGCCATTACCACATATCCATCAAAGGTGAAACTATAATCTCACTATCATAAAGCTGTAGAGCACTAACGAAGTTCAGAACATCTCTTTTAGTCACTTCTACTCATGTTAGCCTGTTATGAGCTAATATAAGTCCTTCCTCTTAGTGCTGAAAATATTCCTAGTGCTGAAAATATTCTTAGTCAAGGCCGCAGTCGGTCTTCAATGAGGTCTAGAGGGCCGCAATGAAAATTTGATATATTTCCTCACTGTCAAAATTAGCAAAAAATTGTCCTCTATCCATCGTTTGGGGAATTTGAGATGCTCCCTGACTGTCTAGCTTTCATTTCGATGATTATTAGCGAAATGGACACAGTCAAGAAACTGTATGAATGTAGGTCCATTATCATTTCTACAGTTTCGATTTGGTTTCAGTTGATTTAGAATCAGTTTTTCCTTTTCGATGAATGAATGAATAAGACGGGAAAAACTCAATGAATAAGACAGGGGGGCACCTGATTCTATATCACCTCTCCTATGACACTTGAAACATACAGCCCCAGGTTTTCCAGCTTGAAAGGTTTTGGGATGACACTTGTGACTTTGTCTCCTTTTGCATACTTGTCCACTTAAGTAGGTAGTACAGTCTTCCTGAATCCTCTGAATTCAAGCTAATTCTCTAGTGTGTTTTGCTAGTTTGTCAGGAGGTAATAAAGAAAACAATAAAACACCAAGGCACTGCTCACGATTTTGGGGGGGTACTGCAACATTTTGGTCTTAAGAAGTCGTCCCTTGCAAATTCCTGTAACCCTGACAAACATCCATAACAACATTACATAGGCTCCATTTCAACAGCTACTTATTCGGAAAGTGCACGTTTTCAGAAAAAAATGCAGATACATAGTATTTGCTAATTTCCAATCAATATCAGCTGGTAACATATGACAACAGAGAGAGAACACATTTATCATGTAAAAACAATGTTCTATTCAGACATTCACTGAATAAAATAAGATACGGTTTACACTGGAATCACATTACAGGGTTTTATCTAACCAACAGAGAGATGACGGTATTGACAAAAGACAGGATATAACCGGAGAAGTGGAAGGATAATGACAAAAGGTAAGGAATCCGTGCAACTGAAACAGGGTCATGTTCAGTAGGAATCAAACTGAAGAAAACAAACTGAAACAGGAGGTATTATCTGGAATTAAGAATAAGAAACAATATTTGGGACTTCATGTATTTATTTTATTTCTACAGTTTGTTTGCACTTTCATTCCACAGTGACGGCATCCACGCTCTCTGGTGAAATCTCAGAGTCTAGCGAATAGCAGGAGCTGCCATTGTCCTGAGCTTCCCTGTTGGCCTCCTCCGTCAACATTACTGTGGTGCTTGCCGGCACCCCAACGCCACCACCGCCGCCCTCCGGTGGCCCCTCGCAGAAGTGTCCAGAGGCATGGATGAGCTGGCTGCAGAGGCGGCTGTAGCGGTGGTAGCGTGACGGCTTGCCCGTGTGCGTGTACATGTGCTCCTGCAGCTGGCTCTTCTGGGCGAAGCGCAGGCTACACACAGCGCAGGTGATCTTGCGCTTTCGTGCGTGACTGGTAGTGGAGGTGGTGGTGGTGGGGGGTGGACTGGTGCCACTGGCTAGACCACCCCTGCTCCGCCTTAGCTCAGCAGCTAGCTCGTCAGCTAGGGCCTGGCTCTGCCTCAGGGCCTCCTCCAGGCAGCCTGCGTCCAGCTGATCTTGGGGGGCCCCACATTGCTGCTGATTCTCAGGGCCCTCCAGGTCCCCTACCCCGCCCTGGGAGAGGCCCTCCATTAGTCCACTGGGGTCCAGGGTGCAGGCGGCGTGGCTGAACAGGTGCTTGCGGAGCCCCTCGGGGGAGGGACAGCGCTCACCGCAGCGGGGACACAGCAGCGCCAGGGGGCCATCCTTGAACAGGAGGCTCTGGCAGGGGCTGCCGCCCTGGGCCGAAGGAGACATTGGGGACCCTCCCCTTCCCAGCGCCTGTTGGCCCTCCCCTCCCTCCCCTTCCCCCTCCTCTACCCTCTCCTGCTTGATGCGCGTTGAGATGTCTGAGTCGTCGCCGGAAGCCACTGAGGAGACGCCACGGAGGAGACCAGAGAAGGGCTGACGGTCCGAGGAGGGGACGCCCTCCAACCCCACGGTCATCGAGAACTGTGCAGCGTGGGAGCGGCCCGCCCGGGTGGACGAACGCCCGTCCTCCGGGCTGCCTCCTCCTCGGGTCCCTGCACTACCTTTAGGGCCCCCAGTATCCTCTTTGTTGGCCAACTGGGACGAAATCTGAATACCATACAGGTTGGACATACGGACCAGGTCGGTGGCATCAGGGGACCCCTCGTCGGGGTTACGGCACAGCTGGTAGGCATGGAGGAACTTGATGCCCTCCTGCAGGCGGCCCTGGTCCACTGGCTGCTTGGGGCCCATGCCCGTGTACATGATGTGGAGCAGGTAGCTGAACACATCCGGCTGGATGTCCGTGGGCTGGATTTTAATGCACTCGCTGTGGAGATGGTAGTAGACAGTGGGAAATTATTATTGCTGACTATTAGCTTTTAGTCAGCAAAGACAAATTCAATAAAGTATCTCTTAGATTTTGTAGAGTAAGATGTACACTACCAGTCAAAAGTTTGGACACACCTACTCATTCAAGGGTTTTTCTTTATTTTTACATTGTAGAATAATAGTGATGACATGAAAACTATGAAATAACACATACGGAATCATGTAGTAACCCAAAAAAGTGTTAAACAAATCAAAATATATTTTATATTTGAGATTCTTCAAATAGCCATCTTTGCATTGATGACAGCTTTGCACACTCTTGGATTTCTCTCAACCAGCTTCATGAGGTAGTCACCTGGAATGCATTTCAATTAACAGGTGTGCCTTCTTAAAAGTTATTTTGTGGAATGTATTTCCTTCTTAATGCGTTTGACCAAGTCCATATTATGGCAAGAACAGCTCAAATAAGCAAAGAGAAACGACTGTCCATCATTACTTTAAGAGATGAAGGTCAATACAGTCAATACAGAATATTTCAAGAACTTTGAAAGTTTCTTCAAGTGCAGTCGCAAAAACCATCAAGCGCTATGATGAAACTGGCTCTCATGAGGACTGCCACAGGAATGGAAGACCCAGAGTTACCTCTGCTGCAGAGGATAAGTTCATTAGAGTTACCAGCCTCAGAAATTGCAGCCCAAATAAATGCTTCATAGAGTTCAAGTAACAGACACATCTCAACATCAACTGTTCAGAGGGGACTGTGTGAATCAGGCCTTCATGGTCGAATTGCTGCAAAGAAACCACTACTAAAGGACACCAATAAGAAGAAGAGACCTGCTTGGGCCAAGAAACACGAGCAATGGACATTAGACCGGTGGAAATTTGTCCTTTGGTCTGGAGTCCAAATTGGAGATTTGTGGTTCAAACCGAACTGTCTTTGTGAGCCGCGGTGTGGGTGAACGGATGATCTCTGCATGTGTAGTTCCCACCGTAAAGCATGGAGTAGGAGGTGTTATGGTGTGGGGGTGCTTTGCTGGTGACACTGTCTGTGATTCATTTAGAATTCAAGGCACACTTAACCAGCATGGCTACCACAGCATTCTGCAGCAATACGCCATCCCATCTGGTTTGGGCTTAGTGGCCACTATCATTTGTTTTTCAACAGGACAATGACCCAACACACCTCCAGGCTGTGTAAGGGCTATTTGACCAAGAAGGAGAGTGATGGAGTGCTGCATCAGATGACCTGGCCTCCACAATCCCCCGACCTCAACCCAATTGAGATGGTTTGGTATGAGTCGGAAGGCAGTGAATGTAAAGCAGCCAACAAGTGCTCAGCGTATGTGGGAACTCCTTCAAGACTGTTGGAAAAGCATTCCAGGTGAAGCTGGTTGAGAGAATGCAAAGGGTGGCTATTTGAAGAATCTCAAATATAAAATATATTTTGATTTGTTTAACACTTTTTTGGTTACTACATGATTCCATATGTGTTATTCCATAGTTTTGATGTCTTCACTATTATCCTACAATGTAAAAAAAATTAAAAATGAAGAAAAACCCTTGAATGAGTAGGTGTGTCCAAACTTTTGACTGGTACTGCATAAATACAAAACTAGCTCAAAATATCATATTTCTGACAGCTCTCCAAGTAAAACACACAAATATCATATACATTTTGTATATTACCATCCTCAAAGATCATATTATCTTAACAGTCAGTGCAATATGAGTCAACACAGAACATACCTTCGAATGTCCAATACCATTGAAACAACCTCTGATGACCACTATTATGCTAGCCTACATTGTATATGGACACTAGACCATGCTACTGTACAATGCTAACTATTAACTTGAAGTGGGTAGGCCTAAACATAGGTATCTAACAACACCATGAGTGTGATATTGACAAATACTGCTCATAAAAGCTAGCAAACCTTGACTGATGAATGAAGATCATCTTGAAGTAGTTGGAGAAGGCAGCCAGGATGGCCCTGTGGGCCTTGAAGTATACGTTACCAATGGCAACGGTACAGTCGCACAGGAAGCCAAACTCCCTCTGGATGTTGAGCTGCTGCAGGAGGAACAGGCTGTGGCTGGACACGTCCATGACGCCACTTCTTGACCACCTGCCACACGCACACAGTAATTAATATTGTATTATATACACTGGTTAAAATTAAAATCGGGAGAGGATATGTTGTGCAGACCTGGGTTAAAATAGTATTTCATTCCTATCAAATACTTTTAGCGTGGTGGGTGTGGTTTGCACTTCAGGGACTATTCCATTGTGCCTGGTAAGCTCAATAAACGACTAAATACACAAACACTATTGGTACCCATGCAAGGTCTGATTGCTGTGCAATGGCAAAATGTGGTTCTATATGACTAAACTCTTCCCCCACCCTATAAAACACACACCAAACATATGTTCATAAATGTCACACCTCTGACTCATGCACTAAGGCATTTCTCAAGGTGTTGCTGAAACAATGGCATACTCTGCTGGTCAAAGAACTGAAAGAAGCATCTCTCGGCCAGATGTTGGCATCTCCGTAACTTTCTACCTGTAGACATCTTAGATAATAAAGGAGTTTCACGTCTGGTGTGACAACATTGACACGCAAAACATTGTGGAACAGTAGGCTGACCTAAATACTTTGACAAAAAAACAGTTCCCGATGTCGATGTAGCGAGGTTGTTACATTGCAACTGAGCGTGGGGTCAACAGAATTTACTGTTACACTGCAGTGTTAATTTTGGCACCTATTTTAGATTAAGTTTTAAAATACATTTGTCTTCGTTACATTTTAGTCATTTCATCCTTCATTAGTTTTAGTTATTATCAGTCGACTAAAACTATTTTAGTTGAGTTTTAATCACAGCCATTTTAGTCACATAGTCAGTGCATTTATTTTGATTAAATAATGAATATTTAGGCTACCTCTAACTTCCATCATCTGCACATTCTGATAGCCTTGTCCCCTCATATACTGTACCTTAGCTGACAACATTGATATTGTGGCAGATTGTAACCAATGCCAGCCATAATTAACCATATAGGCTATTAAGCCTTGGCTACAGGTTAAACTATGTACAGCTCTATATTTTCTCCCCATCATTACCGTCAAGGGGGGTAAATAACAGTGGTTTCATTGAAAAGGCAGGAATTTGAGCTTTCCAAAAATGCTAGAAGTATTATTGTTGCAATCCACCGGGCATATTTATATTGTAGCAACCCTTTATTCAAATGTATCCATTAATGTTGTCTACTTCAAAGCAGATGGGACAATACGTTAGACTGTCAGACATTGCAACAAAGCATGCATTCTGCAACCACGACAGGGTCAGCTTTCGACGAATGGAATACGTAAATAACTGAAAATACCATCCTAAAAGATTGTCAATATGCCAGTCCCCTATGTAGCCTACAACCCACAGCTGGTCTCATGATAAATTCGCCAACTTGTTTCACGACAGCATAACATCCATTCACACACGTCTGCGTTGTATCAAGTGTTTCTACCGACCGAATCAAGTGATCCTTATAGACTAATGCATGCATTTGGATACCCCCTCCTATTTGCAAAACAAAGCACATACGATAATTGGGAGTCCTTCTTACCACCTATTTGAGAAATACAGATTTATATTTCGTAGCCTATTTGTTGCTGCAGAGAAATTCTCGCACAGCCTCGCACGTCTTCATATGTCAACTGAGCCTGTTATTCGTCACGTGACTGTACTGCGCCGTACATTTGGGACACTCTTTTCACTGCAGTTCGCCCGGTAGGCGGTGCTATACGTCACGGTGGGCGTAGATTTCAGCGCGCACAGTGTCGAGAACGAACCGAGCACTCGCTCATGTCCGGATTGTGGAATCTATTTAACACACTGCGCTAAACCATATATGTCGCATTTCCACTGAGGATTTACCCGTGTTCTTTTTCCATCTATGCAGGCCAGCACCTGTGTCTCACTTGGCCATGGCTCCTGCGAACCTGCTCTAACTTGGAGCCAAGCAGGGCCGGCTCCAAGCATAAACGGTTGCTTAGGGCCCCAGGCCGCTAGGGGGCCCCCAACCCCCAGTCGGGTACATTTACATTACATTTTAGTCATTTAGCAGACGCTCTTATCCAGAGCGACTTACAGTTAGTGAATACATATTTTTTTTATACTGGCCCCCCGTGGGAATCGAACCCACAACCCTGGCGTTGCAAACGCCATGCTCTATCAACTGAGCTACATCCCTGCCGGCCATTCCCTCCCCTACCCTGGACGACGCTGGGCCAATTGTGCGCCGCCCATGAGTCTCCCGGTCGTGGCCGGCTGCGACAGAGCCTGGATTCGAACCAGGATCTCTAGTGGCACAGTTAGCACTGCGATGCAGTGCCTTAGACCACTGCGCCACTCAGGAGTCTCAACTTATTGTTTAGAGTTAGAATAGTAGAATACACAAGGTGCAAGTTCGAAATTTGGTTGAATCAGAAATTCTTCTCTTGTTATGTCAGTCACAGCCAGTCACTCAATTAGCCAGATCAGCTAACATTTTTTAGATTGGTAAATTAGTCTAGCCAGCTATCTAAACTTGTAGTTATCATAGCCGAATACCAACCGTTCACGCAGGGCACATACCCAGGGGCCCTGACCTCCCATTGATTTTGTTATTCACTCTCACTCAGATATCATTAACATGGCATAAGTCATGGCAAAATGAGTAGAATTGCATGAAATGTGCTAAGAAAATAAAACTCCACCCTATGGCAAAATGTGTAGAACTGCAGAACACTTAATACATGTTTTGTGGAACTCAGTCAGGGTCTCCATTTACTGTTGAGAGTTAGAATAGTATAATACACAAAGTGCAAGTTTGAAATTTGGTTGTGCATCAGCAATTTTTGTATTGTTATGTCAGTCACAGACATTCACTCAATTAGCCATGCCAACTAAATCTCGCTGAGGGCCCCCAAAAGGCTACATTTTACATTTACATTTTAGTCATTTAGCAGACGCTCTTATCCAGAGCGACTTACAGGAGCAATTAGGGTTAAGTGCCTTGCTCAAGGGCACATTTACGTCATTTAGCAGACGCTCTAGTCCAGAGCGACTCACAAATTGATGCATTCACCCTATAGCCAGTGGGATAACCACTTTACAATTTTTTTTTTTTTTTTTTTTTTTTTTTTTTTGGGGGGGGGGGGGCCAAGGCAAGGCTGCTGGGGCTTTTCAGGTGCATTTATATAGCAATGGCTAACTGTGAACAAGGGTTTACACCTTTGACAGTTAACACCTTTGCACAAATCAACTGTTTTGATTAGTAGCCTATAACATCAGGTATACACTAGTGCAGGGATTATCAAAACTATTTTTATTGAGCAGATGGTCTGGGCCTGAACATATTTACAATTAAGTTAGACTGCAAATTGACTGCAAGAAGCCCAAACATATATAATGTATTTGACTAAAACATAATCGTTTCAAACCTTGCTTACATTTGTATACAATCACGTGTCTCTCTATTATGCATGGGAATACTTGGGAACAGATTTCCAAAATTAAGATCACTTAGAGCTGATTTCCTGGTGTTTTCACAGTCTTTTATGTCCAACAATTTAAATCTTCTTTTTTTCTTTGCTCAGAAAACTTCAACCACCCGCTGGACGCCAATTGGGGAACCCTGCACTAGTGTAACACTGGTGTTACAGTCGAAAAGCAGCAATAGAGAGTACAGGTTTGCTAAGCCTAACTACAGTAATGGATGTTACTATTTCATCAGTAAACAAATGTAATCGCTAAATTCACATTGTTTGCTATTTCATGCAGCCACAGAGTAGGAAGAAGCTATACAAATTATTTTTTATTCGAATTTCACAATGTTTAAAGTTGAGAGATATCATTCACGCAAATGAGACTGGGTGTGTAAGTATGCCTCTAGGATAATATGGTAAAGTTGGCCTCGTGTACTGTATATAGGCCCTCTAACAAATAACTAAGAACAAGGACATCCAAAATCCATCAGATTAACAGTTTTTAATGAAGCCAGAAATACAAATAATTAATCTCAGTGATTGACAGTATACAGGTATTATTGCATGTTGACTAACCAATCAGCAGTGAAATGAGGTTAAATCTATTCATGATCAGTTTAATATATTTAATTCAAGTACATTTATTAGATTGGCTCATAGCCGCAGGAAATACAGGTGCTGAGGGTGTTTTTTTTGTTGTTGTTTTTTTACAAAAGTAGTGCACTGGGCCTTTACTAGTATAAGCGGACCGATAATCGTGGAAAAAAAATGTTTTCAGCATCTCCACTTAGGCAAAAAAGGTAGTTGTATAATTAACAAGTGTCTTGCAGGATTCAATAGTATCTTGCAGGGTTCAATACACAGCCTTAGTTAAGGTAGTAAATTATCTTAGAGCCAACACAGATGCCAAACAGCTCTCTACTCTTGGATTTAAGTGCTGCATTCGACACTGTTGACCATGATGTCCTTCTGGACAGACTGGAGCAGTGGGTTGGCCTCTCCGGTCCAGTTCTAAATTGGTTAAGGACCTATTTAACTGGTCGAGAGTTTTTGTCACCCTTGGTGAACATAACTCATAGAAAATACATTTCACATGTGGCATTCCACAAGGTTCGATTTAGGGTCCGGTACTGTTCAGTTTATATATTGTTACTCCTTGGCAGCGTTATCAGAAAGAACAGCATTGATTTTCACTGCTACTCAGACGATTCACAACTTTACATTTCTGTGTCCCCAGAGGATTTTAGCTCCACGGATAAATTATTAGATTGTATTAGTGATTGAAATACTTGGATGGTTCACAACTTCCTCCAGCTAAATCAAGACAAGACCGAGGTATTTATTGTTGGAGCCAAAGCACAGAGAGAGCATCTGGTCGCACATTTTAATTCACAGGCATTAAAGATAAAACACCAGGTAAAACACCTAGGTGTTATTTTAGATTCTGAACTCAATTTCGAATCACACATTGGGAATGTGACCAAACTAGCTTTTTACCACCTGAGGAACATTTCCAAGGTGCGGCCGTTTCTCTCTCAGGCTGATACAGAGAGACTCATCCATGCTTTTATTACAAGCAGGCTTGACTACTGTAATGCTCTCCTGTCTGGTCTACCC